TAACACAACAAACCCTGAACGCACCACAGTATGGTACTAACACTAACACAACAGACCCTGAACGCACCGCAGCATGGTACTTACACTAACACAGCAGACCCTGAACGCACTGCAGCATGGTACTGACACACTAACACAACAGACCCTGAACGCACCACATGTTTTCTTATTACTCATGTGTTTCTTGATTAATCTGTATTTTCCACATAAACAGACAAAGAATTTAGAGTTTCTGTGAGTCTAAATTCAAGAAAACCCCTAAAAGAGACGTTGATTCAGTTTTATTTATCACCAGGGCAGTTCTCCACAGATCCAGTTTTTATCGGATCGTTTTGGTTTATTTTGGAGAGAAAACTGGTCGTGTAGCTGCAGATTTATGACCCGCTCCCCTTAAGGCTGCTTTGATCTGAGCTGCACTTAATGTGTCGGATCTGTGCGGGAACAAACTGAGTGCGAGTGTTTATGAGCCGGACCCAAACGTGTTGTAAACTTACAGACATTAAACTTAACGAACACTGAACACACACTTTCACAGACTGACGTGACGTTCTGAGGTTTTAATTCAACATTTGTGGCATGTTTCATTCAGAACTTTTCCTCACATCAAATAAATTTTCTATTAAACTGTTAGAGAAACAGGAACAAACCGTGTCTCTGTGACAAAMTGCTGGGAAAAAAGAGCTGAAAGATAAAATTTAAACTGGTTCTGTTTGTCGACACGTGCGCCTGAAAAAAGACAACACACAATTCATTAAGTGTTGTATAACTACTGCATATAAAAGCTGTTTATTACAATAAAAAAGTAAAAATCTATAATTAATTTTAGAGGCTTATTGGTAGTTTTACATGTTGGAACAAATAAAAAAACAGCTTTAATAAAACTGAGCTCTACAGCTCATATGAGTTCTTTCTTTAATGTGAAAAATTAAACTAAAAAGCAGAATTTTTAAATGAAGAGAGCCGGTTTGCAGACCTCTGATCCTACTTTGCAGCATTTGATTTTATTTAAATAAAAAAAAATTATTTATTCAAATAAAATCAAACTTTTCTCCAACATGTTTCTGTAAGAGCATGAACACCTCCTGACCTCTGACCTTTCCTCCTGTCTGTACCTGAATGTCCTCCTGTGTGTGTGTGTGTGTGTGTGTGTGTGTGTGTGTGTGTGTGTGTGTGTGT